TGCCCAGTCTGAGGGTGGATGGATGAAGTAGTGCCGAAGGAGCATTAACATTACTCTTAAGAGGCATGGTTACTTTTGCACATTTTGCTTGTCTTAACTCGTTTTTTGCTGAGAATTTGTGATTTGATTCAGAACCCATATCAGTCTCAGCAGTTGAACTGATGATGATTTCTTTACATGTTGGACTCTAGCAGTATTAGGATGAGTGTTTTCATTATGGTGAAAGAACAGATAAAAAGTCTTACAACTTTAAGCAGAGAGAAGGAAAAAAGTATTAAGATTGGTGTAGCATACCCTGCACTTTGCTCTGTTATCATTGAATAGTGCTATTCATCTAGAGTTTACATGATCATGAGTGTATGTGATAGTGGTTCCACTTCCTAATAATTTAGACTTTAGATGAATAGCATTAATCAATATCATCACCAAGCACAAATCACCCAAACTTGCACTTGTGTGCACTTCGCAAAGCTTGCACTAGGAGCTTTATAGGCAATTTAACATTGCACAAGTTAAGAAACCTTTAAATTTTCTTTAAAGAAAGCTAGCATCGAATTGTGTGGTGAACATTGGACAGCGAAGTCAGGGACATGGTGATGGAACAACAAATTATCTAATCCTATGATATATTGCTCTTGAGAAGGAATGATGTATCATAATGGGACCAGACAAATTATAGCTCTTAATACAAGTCACATAAATAACAACGAACAATTCAAACATACAAATTTACTTACTCAAAAAAGAAAAAGAAAATAAAGAAAGAAAAAAAAATGGAGAACACAACCAAATGATGAACCCTAGCAGCAACTCTTATCTCGTGGGCCGTAAGTGATTTGTATTGTTGGTGCAGGTGCTCTAGAATTTAGCTTGGAGATGATCGATGATGCTCTTGTCTACTTGGAATACCTTGGCAAGAATATCATTGCAAATACTTGGTTTTGATCCAAAAACTGTATTTGCAATATGGATCTCCGCCCCTAAACCAAAATATGATTAAAAGATTCTTTGTTTTCCATGACGACACCTTGCGTCACTATCTCATATGCTTCAAACAAATCCCGATTGGGACACATACGGAATGCACTAACTGTATCCAAAATTCACTCCTCATTAGGTTTGAATTTTTCGTCAAAAATATCCAAAAGATCTACATCGCCTAAACATTCCTCAGCTATGTTTGCCTCATCCAAAATATCAAATCGCTTCCCACGATTTGCAACTAAATTACCTTTACCCTGCAACTTCTTACAATCTCTCTTGATGTGTCATTTCTTTTTGCATTAAAAACAAACCAGATTGTTGTAACTGGACCTCGACTTACACCTTCGTAAATCACCATGAACCAAAAGACCTTTTCCATCTCTAGACTTAGATTCAACCAGATAATTCATCTTCTCCTTTGAGAACAAGGCATAATAGACGTCATCAATAGTGAGTGTGTCACGACTATANTCATCTTCTCCTTTGAGAACAAGGCATCATACACGTCTTCATTGGTGAGTGTGTTACGACTGTAAAAAATCGTGAGCAAACACAACAAGATCAAGGCCAAGTCCTCTAAATCATATTTTACCTCTGACGTTTCCAAATCAGTGACGATATCTTTGAACACAGCTAGATGATCTTCCAAAGATCCCCTTCTGTCATGCAATGAGAATATAGCATCTGCTTCAGATGCAGTTTGCTGGTCAGACTTTTGGTTATGCGCAATTGTTCCAATTTCAACTATAATGCAGCTGTTGTCTTTTTCTTCAATATGTCATGAAGAATATTGTTAGATAGTTGAAGATGTATCTGCACCGCAAAAGTGCCTTCTGATCCTTCCGTTGCTTCTCCTCTGTTCTCTAAGTTATTGGCATCTTGTCAAATCCTAACAACGCATCATCCAAATCCATTTGCGCCAAAATAGCCCTCATCTTTACTTGACACAATGAAAATCTTGTATTGTGATCCAAAGTCGAAACTTCATACTTCATGGTTGCCATCGATAGCAGAAACCTTAGAAGAAATTCTCAACATGGCTCTGGTACCATTTGTTATGAATTCGGAACTTTTATTAGGAACGAGGAGGTTGATATGACATAATGTGAAGTATACAATCGTACAAACCAAGAACGAGATTAAAGGTAAAGAGAAGAATTGGCTAATGAACTAATGTTTTATTGACAACAAAAAAGAGGAGAGAATATAATGAACTCAGCACTAGTGCTTCACATAAACTGAATTAAGAACATACATATTTATAGGGGAAGTCCGAAACCCTAGAAATAACCTAATTAGATGGAAACTAGGTCAAAAACGAGTAAAAATTTGAAAAAATAGGATAGCACGTCGCTCGAGCGATAAGCGGGCGAAATAGTCGCTGCTTCAAATCTACCCCTTTTGCTCGAGCTACACGATGGCCATGAACAGGCGAGATTCCAGTGTCGTCATTCCATCTTTTTCTCTTCTTGAACCCTACTTTGACATGTCCAAGCCCAATACGCAAAGCCCAAACCAAATTTGGGTCACCAAACCTAACAAGAACCGTGAATCTTTCCAAAATTTGGCGAAGCACAAAGCAACATGCGAAGAAAATGAGAACACAAGGGTTTGCACCATGTCAACGAACCACCTCCATCTAGGCTAGCTACAGGCTGTCATGAATAACAAGTGTCCAATGAATATAACGTGACATTGTTAAAAAAAATTAATTATGAGTTAATTAATAAACAGTCACCATCTGTCATATTACCTAAATGATTGATATATCCTAAAGTTTGGAGAAAAATCTATGAGTACCACCCATTTGAGAAGAGAAGGGCATGCATTCCAAATCTTTCTAATTGCTCCAAAATTGAGCTCTGAAACTAATGAGCTTAGTATTTCGTTTTTACCATTAACATATAGCTTGTTTTAATACATTTTCTTTAATTTTTATATTTATAATCTTAACATTTACATGACATTAATTTTAGAAAATCAAAATAGAACTTTCATAAATGAAATAATATAATGAAGTTAATACTGCATCTAAAAATTAATTTTCTCTTAACAAAATTGGTTAAGAATTAATCAATAAGCAGTCGCCATCTGTCATATTAGCCAAATGATCTATATATCCCAAAACTTGAAAGGAAATCTTTAAGTACCTCCCATTTCAGAAGAGAAGGGAATGCATTACCAATCTTTCCCTCTCATTTACGTCTCTTCTAATGGATCCAAAATTGAGCATCGAAACTAGTGAGTATAGTATTTGTTAATTTAATTTTTACCATCAACATATTGTTTTAAATAGTAACGATCTCCTAAAAACCGTGTTTAGTTTATGCTAAGCATTGTGCTTAGGTTGCACGCTAAGCATTAGGAGATCAAATCCGTTGTTTTAATACATTTTCTTTAATTTTTATATTTATAATCTTAACATTTACACGACATTAATTTTGGAAAATCAAAATAGAACTTTCATATGATATAATATAATAAACTTAACACTACATTTTAAAATGAATTTTCTTTTTATCCCTTCCCTAACGAATATTTTATTGAAAAATCTGTGACAAAAATACGATTAAGACGCAATCACCCTTTTTTTGGGTTTATCCAAGAGAGGATAATTTAACTCTCTTTAGCGTAAACACAATTGAGATTAAATGCATTGTAGTTGGCTAAACTTTCAGTGGGTTGAATTCTGATCAACCCCAGCAGATCGAAGTTGAGTGGCTTGATTTCACAACAATAAGAATGAGTGGACCCTAATTCAACTCTTGGAAGTTAGCTGACTCGCAATGCATTTAATCCCTAGAATACTGCTATCTTAGTAAAACATATTAGGAGAATGAGAGAGAGAGGTAGGACATGCACTGCAATTTCACCTTTCCTAAATTTCAGGAGTAAAAGAAAAGCGTCGTTAATCACAATAGTTGATTAAAAAAAAGAAGGCAAGAGTAACCAAATTGATAGTTGAAACGTTTGGATAAATTTATAAGGTGCACATAAACCCGAATGCACAGTGGGCAATTTCAAGTCGTCACTAGAAAAAAAAACAAGAAATCAACACTAAAAATAAGTTTCGCAACAAATTAATAAAACCCCACAGATTTGCAGTAGGTAAGAACGAATGTGTCAGATTGCATTTCACCATCAGAAGCCTCATGCTTAATGTCCTCAACACGTTAAGCTGCAGAGGAAAAAATTACTTGTATTAATACCACCAACTATTAACTCAAAAAACAAGAATATTTCTCAGTCAATTTAGACGAACTCGTCACTCCCAGACTCTATGTCCGTTCCCATCCCTTTGAATTTTATAGCATATTCTTTCATAGCCAAAAAACCCAAAGAGCAGTTAAAACCACATACTGATAATTGATAAATCATTTCAGTTTTTTTTTTACGTTAACAAAACCATCATAATACTGAGACATCATCGAAAGACCACAATCAAATTCAGTTCCCAATAATAGCTTGTTCCAATCCTTGAGGTCAACTTACAGTGCAATAAAATATAAACCAATTCGGCATCCATAGGATCTTGCTTGAATCAATCCTTCTGTCAGTTCTCACATAGACCACATCGTTCACGTTTACACTGTCTATATGCAAATTATTTGCTTATTACATTCTTTGGTTACGGATAACAGTTCACATCATTCATCATTCTAGACACAATATCATGTTATCATTTCTTGGAAGATAACAATGATCTCTCTCAGTATCTAAACTCTCATAAACGAAACACATGGTAAAGGAAAGAGATGAAATATTTATTTTTCCCGGCTAACCTAGCAACCTCAGTCTCCCGAGACCAACAAGCACCAATAGAAAGTTATTATCTTTACAGCAATATAAATAAGTCAATGAAAGGCAGGTAGGTATTTCAGCTAACCTATCTTCCTCAGTCCTTCGAGACCAACAATCGCCAATAAGAAGTTATCACCTTTACAGCAAAATAAGCAAATATAAATTAAGTCAATGAAAGGAAGGTAGAACAACTTACAGCATGAATTTGATGATCTCTAATGGCTCTCGATGACACTATTCAGAACAACTCCGCAGAGCGAGCAAGGGAGTGCATAGTACTCTTCGTAAAGCGGACGACAATAGTTCAAGAAATAAAAATCCTTGGTATCGTGATTATAACACAGCATGCGACCAAGAAAGCCCAGAAAGATTTGATCCTCACTCGGATGAAAAGCATAAAATTTGAACTTCCTAAAGTCACGATGAAATTTAAAAATATAATGTAGTGGTTGGTGCCAAACGGGACCATGAAAGTTGGTGCTGTGCTTGAGCACCCAACAACAACTGTCATCAAACGTCCAGATTAGTATCCTATATTTATCTTTGACGAAGTAAAGCAAAGCCCCTTTGGATGTCCCTATAGATCCACATTGATTGAATTCATCCTTTTGAGGCAGCTCAAAAGCCTGAGCTTTCAATTTCACATTTGTTTTTGTATGTTTTTTCAATCCGAGATTGATACACACCAAGTACTTGGCCATTGATAACCTGTATAAAACCCCATTCAAGTAAACAGAACTTTGAATCCAGCGGCCAAGGTCAAGAACGGGCTCAAAAGCAATAGTATGGCAAACCCAACCGCCAGTCTCAGATGAATAAACATCCAGATTTAATAATTGAGTGACTTGGGCAAACCTAATAATTTTATAGTGAAGTGTAACGGTAGGATCAAAAGCTAGCGAGGAGTACTTGAAATCACTGTGTAAGGGGTTAACAGGAATTCTGATACATTCAGAGGTGGTGGGGTTGCTCACGAAATACTGATTTGGATTGGAAGATCTAGATGCTAGAAGAAAAAGCCCATTGCAACAGTCTAGAATGTGCTCCGCCTTGTGTTCGGCTTCACAGCTAGCAAACAATGCCATCAAATTCTGCCACAACCTTTGAGAAACGACTCCAGAATCAGGAGCTAATGCAAGAAAATTTTCACCGCCCCGGAGGTAGATTAAGCCGTAAAAAACGGCGGATGGAGAAGGCGAGGAGAATCTAGGAGCACATGTATTTGAAATCAGAAAGTATAAAGATTTGCAAATGCACTTGAGCCTGATAAGAGGTTTATCCGGGATTCGTGACAAGATCTCAACTTTTAAATCATCTGGTAAATTTGACCAATTGAAAACACACGAACTTGAACCTCCATCTTCTACTTTTCCTTCTACATTAGGATTACTACTGCAGCAAGATAAGGACATGACTCAGAATAAAATAGAGAAGCTTTTCGAATTGGGAAGGAGGCTGCGGCCTGTTTCATTGATATAACCCTATACATAGGGTTCAATGGGAGTTATACTCTCAATACAATACACATTCGTGAGTGTATGGGCCGAGCTTGACATACCTAAATCCACGCACTCCACCCCGCCCCACGCCACCTCACCCAACCCCATTTTCGAAACCAAACGCTAATCCCTAAAATAGTTTCGTTTCTTCTTCTCAAAAACCCAAGAGATTTTTCCCAATTTGTGATTGCAACCAGATGAACTCAACAAGGCGATTCTTCCCGATTTCTGAAAGAATGGAAGAGTGATAATGCTTCTTGCTGCAGTGAGCACATTTTGTTTTTAACATTAACTTGAGTTTCTATCTCTACTATGCAAGAGAAATACGAAATGGAGGTCACTAGAAGCAGCCATAATTCCAAATTTTAATCTCCCACTACGTAGTTACAAAATTAAAAATCGGTAACTATTAAGTGCTACTCTCTGTAAGCGTGCTTTGGACCTTTGCATTCTCTGTTTACATTCTATAGAATTGAACATGTGCCAGATCAGATTTATTTATCAAAGGAAAACAATTTTCTTTTATAGGGATCTACTTTTCTTGAATTTAATTTAAGAATTCACACTTTCTCTGTTGTTTATTCAAAATCACAAGGTTCATTCTTCATATAAATGGATTTTGTTTCCTAGAATGATATGGGATGATTTGTTTATTACTGTTGTGGAATAATTGTTGAAGGGTGCGCCTGAGAGATGGAGATCGGTAAAGGCGCAAAGTACAGCCGTGGGGCTGCCTACAGAAGATGACATGGGCTACAGTGAGGTTGGTCACAACGCTCTTGGTGCTGGCCGGANGGCTGCCTACAGAAGATGACATGGGCAACAGTGAGGTTGGTCACAACGCTCTTGGTGCTGGCCGGATTTACGCACAAGGGTGAGCTTCATTTTATTTTTCGTCATTAAAGCCCAAAAACATCAGATTTGTACTTGTACATTCGTTTCAGTTAAGTCACTACACATGTATACATCTATTTAGGAGAATGGAACCGATAATAGGAGCAGTAAGGTTGTAAAAAAATCTTTATTCACGTAATCTCGGCTTAGAGCACGTATTAATGTGTTTCAATCATTTGCTTTTAAGCCTAATGTGAAAGCGAATTAGGGTTTGAAATTTAGGACCAAATGGAGCAGTCTTTAGATTTCAATGCAATTGGCAAGTGTTCGATATGGTGGATTGACACTAATTCTGGTCAAAGTCACTGATCAATGTGTAAAACTAAAATTAATGTATAAGTTCAATGACCATCCATGCAAAAAAAAAAAAAACTCGGGGAAGAATCTTTTAAGATATTGGGTCTGGCATTCTAGGGAGCAACTTCCCAGTATGCTCATGAGTTCTGCCAATGTCTCATGCACAATCAAGAGGACCATTAGTTTTATATGCTAGTAGATGTACAAAGTTCTCATTGAAATTTTCTTCATTTTGATATGGTGCAGACTAAGAATGTTTAGATGAAGTTATAGTAGAAAATAAAATGGTGAGATTGTTTGCATGCTGAGTGATTGCACTTTTACAATTTT